ATTAAACGAATTTTACAGGCGTCCCACAATTAGTCCTGTCCCACTATTGCGAGTCCGTGCCACACATCGAGAATACTAAATTGATCTTACATTTATTTAGGCATGATTTAACAGCGAGACATCAGTCGCAGTCTACGATGCTATGTTTGGAATCGATCGTAAACATCAACCTTCGATAATTCTTGCCAAATATTAGACAAGCTTATAATTAACGACCGGCGATAGCTAGCACGATCTATCCAGTGGCTAAACGTAGGAGGCCAACGACCCACCAGTTTATTCTGCGTGTAAGACGAACGTTTACTCAGTGATAAATGAGTGACATCTCGAGTATTTGGGTCGACGTTTGGTGAACGATTTCGTCAGATGTTATCTTCGACCACTGCACTCATTCGGAGCGAACGTGGACGGAAAAGAAGGAAAGAAACAGTAAAAATCTTTCGTTTAAAATTAAATTCGTTATTTACAGTAATTCACGATTACACGTTACGCATTGTATTCGCATTTGATTTTACATAATATATCAGCCGCAAGATGGCCGCTGGTGTTACTCCTGGGATTCGGCTGGCTGCAGCGATCTAGGAAGCAAAAAGGATGACAGTTATGTAGCTATAGAATTTAGATAAGCTGTAAATAACCCACCGTGTACGGTTGCAATTCCGAGAGCTTCTCTCTCTCCTCGATGGACAAGTTCAATCTCAGCCTGAATCGATACGCAAAGCAATCATTATCGTCAACAGATAGCAATAACTTCCATTTCGAATAATTAAACTTACAAGTTATAGTCGATGTCCGAAGGTATCACCATCTGTTCGTTCTTGCGAATTTCATTGACCTCGTGCAGTTGTTCCTCGATGCCATGTGCATAAATCGCTTCGATCTAGAAGATCAATTGATTGGTCATAATAATCAACGGCGAATCTGTACTGATGTATCGATAACTCGTAACGTAAGAGACTACTGCGCTTTAACGGGCACGAATGAGCTACAGACAATAACATTCGCAAACCTGTAATCTTCGGGCGATGACCGGGTCATCTACGAGGTGAGCAAAACGATCAGGAAACATCGAACTTAGCATATCGACGGTCACAACATCCCCTGATATACCCAACATATCCAAGGCAGACTTCATCTGAGAGTTTCTGGATTGTTTAATTTTCAATGATTTTTGCCATTGCGAACACGGTTGTATTTCGCTTTGGAGCAATTTTACAGCATCTTCTAGTTTCGACAGAACCTCCTCTGTTTTTGCCATTCTTTTCTCAGATACGCAGCCAGTTTCGTATCCCTTTCTCGTGAGCCTTTGGTCAGCGTTGTCTGGTCGTAGACTCAATCGAAACTCTGATCGACTAGTGAACATTCTGTAGGGCTCGGTCGTGCCTTGAATGGTGAGATCGTCGATAAGAACACCGATATAGGCCTCTGTTCTACTTATTATCAATGGCTTTTTCCTGAGAACCTAGGAGCTATACGTTTTAAATGTACCGTTCAACTAAAATGTGATACCGATAAATTCAGCGAACGAGATACCTTGGCTGCAGCATTGGCACCTGCCACAATCCCCTGCGCAGCGGCCTCTTCGTAGCCAGTGGTTCCATTTATCTGTCCAGCAAGGAACAATCCTGGAATCTTTTTCGTTTCTAACGTAACAGTCAATTCTCTAGGATCGATGTAATCGTACTCCACTCCGTAACCGGGTGTCACTGCATAGACAATGGTACTACAATAATTAAACCACGACGGATTAAGTACTTAAAAAAAAAAATTCTTACGCATTTTTGCATTTTCTAGTGCTGGAATACAATTGATAAGCTCTTGCTGCTTCTCAGCTGGAAGCGTACACGACAATCCGGATGGATATATTATGGGAGATTCTAGGCCTTCTGGTTCGAGCCAGATCTGATGCTGAATAGCACCAAACCTTAAAATTTTACTTTCTATGCTTGGACAGTATCGCGGACCTGTTAATTCTTGCGTTACATGCAAATTCTGATGCATGTTATCCCTTACTATCTTCGCGACAGCTTCAGTTGTACATGTTAGATAACAATTTAGCTGTTTTTCTACTGGTAGCCAAACAGTTTCATTCATAAATGAGAAAGGTGTTGATACTTTGTCTGGCAGCTGTACTATACATTTGGAAAAATCTATGGTACTTTTTTCTATCCGTGGTGGGGTCCCTAAAATAATAAAGAGAATTATTAGTAGAATTATTTTATGAGATATCCTTGTAGAAGAAAATGTAGAACTATTACCAGTCTTTAATCTTCCCATTCTGAATCCAACTCTCTCTAGTGTATTGGCTAGACCAATGCTTGGTTCATCACCCATTCTACCAGCAGGTCTCTTTTCTAAGCCAATATTGATTTGACCCTTTAGAAAGGTCCCTGTTGTTATAATAACTGCATTGCTATGTATTTTTGTTCCATCCTCTGCAACACAATCCCTTTGAATATTGAATTCATTCAAGGTAATCGTATACCTTCATTACAATAGAGATTGGTATACTTAGAATTATTCCATGGCAACTTGGTGTGTTTCCTTGTATAATTAAATCTTCAACAGAAGACTCACATATTTCTAAGCCAGATGTGTTGAAAAGTTCTTCTTGGAGATGTTTCTTATATAAACCACGATCGATCTGTGCTCTATACCCCCATACAGCTGGTCCTTTACGCTTATTTAATATAGTATAATGAATTCCAGACAGATCACAGATTCTACAACACACTCCATCTAAGGCATCAACTTCTCTCATGAGATTTCCTTTTCCAATTCCACCAAACGATGGATTACACGACATTTCACCAACTGTACTTTTCTTATGGGTAACCAGTAAGGTCTTTGCACCCATTCTAGCAGCAGCTGCACAAGCTTCTGTACCAGCATGACCACCACCAACAACAATAACGTCAAATTTGTGCTGATCGCTGTTAGTTGATGAATTTCTTACTAACCAAAGAAACTGTCTGTAGTTTCTACCCAGTGGAGGCAGTCTAATCTTTTTAAAACTCATTTTATTGACAAACATTTTGGGAATGAATAATTAAGTAATCTTCATATTTTTAAATATATACACACAGTACCAGATACTCGTATGTATCGAGTCAGATGAATGAAAAATGACAGTGGAGTCTACCTAACCTAACCTTCTGCAAGAAATATTTTTGCTGCCCTCAACGGCAAAACGCTCAAACTTGTAGAGAAACAGCTCCATTTATCATTCACAGATGGCGCTATCAAAACTGTTTCGTAGGTAACAGACAGCTATTAGTGTGTTTAGAACGGAGGGCACTTCCGTCTGGTTTAGAGGTTAAGCCATTGCAAGAATTGTTTGTGATGAGTTTTAAAGTAAAAAACACGTGTTTTATTTTACAATATACTTTGTTAGTTATTGGGGAAACTGTTAGTGTTAACTGTGGTGCAATAACTACTATTCCGTCAAGTAAAAAAACTTTTTATGGTCTTCTGCCATTCCAGACACAATTGGAGATAAACAACAACGAATAGAGACAATTAGAAGATACAAAATAATTTTTTAAATAAACAAGTGAGGCTGATGGGTGTGTGTAATTTGGTAAAAAACAATATACATAAACGGTTTTCAAATATATTCCAGTAGATTACAAAAATTTGATTTCATATGTACAAAATACACTTTTAATATTTCATGAAGTTTTTATGTTATAAAGTAGTCATTATGTTCTAAGCTTTTGAACACAGAATTATATTTAACTGCTTCTTGAATTTTTGCCAATATCAGTTTGTCGCACATATTCTCTTTGCTTATGAATATCATATTCATATATTGCAAATTATTTATGAATTCTATGACAAAATTAAAGCAGTTCATTGTAACTTCATCATAGTTGTCAGATCTCCATTTATTATCCTTTAGTATGGCTTGAAGTGTTTCATCCCAGTGATAATCCCAACATATAGGAGTTATCTTTAGTGCAATGCAATCTGTCCATTTGGAATGATCGTTTATTATGATACCTTGCTTGTCGTACTCATGGACAATTCCTTGAGAATTTGTGATTCCTATATGCAAATCGTTAAGAATAGAATACTCGTTTAGAAAGTTGCCCTGTGATGGTCTAACAACTACAGCAGCTGGTTGATAGATAGCATTTGTATATGGATACGGAATCAAAAATGGTTCTGTATTATAATTCGCAATAGACGATTGACAAATTGGACATATCTTTGGAACACTTTTGCAAAATATACTTTTGTTGCAACAATGTCGGAAACATAGTATTCCTGGATCGCGTGACATAATCAATTTTTAAACAATTCTGAAGGTAGTTTCATGTATTGTTACATTAAACTAACTTCAAGCCTTTTGACAGCGCCATCTACGGTAGAACGCCCAAGTTTGTCGTAAAGTAATAGTTTCTCTTTCTTTTACTAGATGGCGCAACTAATATTTTATCTACACAGTATGATGAACATCGGTAAAATAATATTAATTTTCGCGATATATCTATACGTAAACTTATGAGCTTTGCGTATCGCATTACGCATTTTCTTTCTTGACTAAAGGTTACATTAACAATAAAACACGAAAAACAATCAAACCAGTTAGCTGGTGATATTTATTACCAAAAGAGGAAACTATTGTGCTACAAACTTGGACGTTTTTCCACCGAGGGCGCTGACGAAACGCTAAAGTTAGTTCGATCTGTTCGTCGCTAGATAGCTTCCCAATTCAGTATAAAAATTGTTAAACATCCAAATGAACCGACGGATGTAAAATATGTATACTTACTATTCCAGTGCGAGGATGTTTCTCTCGTGCACCTTAAAGAAAACAAACAAACCAAACGAACAAATATTTTCAACTTTATAAAAAAACTTGTTTGACTTCCCAACAAAATCACGAATCTGTGATAAATGTTGGTAGACAACTGCTTGCTAATATTTGCTAGATTTATACATATTGCGTAAGCATGGGAGATATCGAAGACATTAAGACGAGTGATATATTTCAGTGTAAGATGTGACCTGAAGAAAGTGTGTCTTAAAAAAGTTTCGTGGTTTCTCATATACCGTTTATTTTTCCCTTTATGCAGAAGGACTTTTGCGGTCGCGCCGATCGCTTTCGACCGCGATTTCGATCGATAGTTACGATCGCATTGGCCAATAGTTATACAGGAACTAATACCGCAGCAATCCTATCGGTACTAAATTAGATTATTAAATTAAATTTAAAAAAAAAAAACTACACGGTATTTCGAGGAATCGTGTAGCTCCAATATCGTTCCCATCGCTACCAATGATTACGCTCGAGTCGCGTGTTCCCGCCCTTCCCCCACCACTTAGTACGAGCGCGTGCCGCTGCGCGCGGCAGCGCTGGGATAGTAGCAGCTGATCCATGGTGCGGTGTGGACCAGTTGTGTCCGTGCTGCGTTTCCGCAGTGTGTTCGTACCGGTACGCGTAACCGACGTTTCACCTCGTCGGCGGATCTCGTCGTAGTGATTCTCGTTGCCTCTCTGAGCACACGTGACAAGTGACTCGCCATCAGGACGTGGTGCTCGACCGATTCCATCGCTGACACGTTGCGAAACAGTGAAAGGTAACGAGGACGGACTAGGAGAGATCGAAGACGACATAGGAAGGAAGAGCAACGTGAATCGGCTGGCGGGCGCGCGTCCATCGCTAAAAACTGGGTGAGTGTCTTTCATTCCACGTTCCTCGGCGTACACGCACGAGCCTCCGCGACGTTCGAAAAACGAAATCGCGAAAACGAATGGAAAATCGTTGGCACGTGGTCCGATATCGCCGTCGAGGATCGACGTACAAGGCGCACACGTGAGACTCGCGTACCCTTTAGAGGTGACTGACACCTGATGCGTCAATGACCACACCACGCGCACGAGTCGCGTGTACTGCGTCTTCCTTCGACTCCGTTTTAGATAATCTTAATCGGATACGTGTGACGGGCCGATGGTTTGAAATGTCAAAGTCACCGCGTCGTTTTCGATCAAAGAGCCCCCCTTTGGTTCGTTTGCGCGCGATTAACGTGTCGTCAAACGGAGTAGATGGATAGATGTCACGCACGGATACGTGTGCGTATGCGTATTTTTCAATCGTGGGATTCGTAGGAGTGGCGGGTCTCATCCCACGACAGACATTCTCCTAATGCGTATGTACGCGCTTAACGGAACGTGTCTTAAATCATCGTTACCCAGTGGTGCTCACTTTCTTATCGTTATCGTTTATGTTGTTTAATTTGTTAGAGGACGTGTCGGGCAAAATTTGACGCATTCGGTTGTGCTTCGTTTCTCCATGTTTCTAACCGCTCCGATTTTAAATATACAATCAAAAGGTCATCGCTAAAATCCTTATGCGCGGATGTTGGTGTTTGAATTGTACAATTATTGTGTAATAGTTCCTAGGCAACGAAAACGAGGTTATCAGAATAACTGTTTAATAGAATATATAGGGTGTCTATTTTGAGAAATAATGGGAGCGTTAGGGGAACATCTGCGAGAGACGAAAGCATAAATATTTTGGAGTATACGTGGAACTTTGTTCGTGTAACATTCTTGGTTTCAGTTTTTGCTTTCGCCGTAGAGATTTGCTATGGCTCGCGCGTATAGTTGCACGTTCAAGGTCACAGCCGTCGCAGAAACAACGTTCCGCGTATAATATTTACTCGCTAAGGAGCTTCCTCTTTAAAGGCACCGCAGGCTCTCGCGTAGTCTCCTTAAAACCATGTTCGAAAAGGTCAAGAGTGCATTGTCTGCGCATTCTTGACGCTCCGAAGCACAAGATGATTCTAGATGTTTTGTTGGCGCAGTTTGTGGGCGTAATAAGAGAGAGAAATTGGACAATATTTAACATTTAACCATTTGTGAACGTAAGAATTTGCATAAACACTCCTGGTTTAGTTATACACGTATAATTGAATATAAGGTCACAGAATTAATTTCTACGCCTAATATGTTAGCCATCCACAGTTGTCGTGTCACTAACTCGTTAAGCGACAGGGTAAGCTTCGGGATAGTCGTCGGGAACGAGAGCTGCTCGTTTTTCGAAACAACGAAATTTAAACGAAGCTCGTCCGTGCGCCAAAATTTCCATAAAGTTACGCGGTGAAAAGCGCTGCTGAAGCGTCCGGGGCTAAATAATTTTGCGTACGAAGCGACGGAAAAATTTATCGTTGAAAATAATTGCCGGTTCGCGATTACGATGCATGCACTTTTATTTTTCTCCACCTTTCAACCTGTAAAGGAACAAAGTATTGCAATCGTAGCAAATTTCGACTAACTTTCTGGCGGAAATGTACGTATCCAGGCGTTCGTATTGTTCAGAGAACAATTTTGTTTCACTTAATTTTGTTTCACTTAATTTTATTTTACTTAATTAAAACGTTATTCTAAATCCCTCGAGTTTACTCTAATCGTAACTGAATTTTCGTTTACATTTCACTCAAAAGTCGCGTTAAACCGATATCCAGATGAGGTGCGACCTTATTCGTCGTTTCAAAAAGACAATATTCCCAACACCGCGGCACGTGAAACTTCCCAACGTATTCGTCTCCGTTAATTTTTCCATTGGAGCGCTGGTTGCGTCCAATTAGCTGTCGGCCGGGCAATGGAAAGCATCGTATTTCGTCGCGGTCGCGTTTGTCGTCGGGAAATCGGTTCGTGGCTCGTTCTTTATAAATAATTATATCGTAAATAATGTTCTCGCGGCGGGTTTCGAATCGTCAACGGGCTTCCGACTGCGCACAATGAACCGATTTCCGATATTTGAACGCGACACACCGCCACGCTCGACAAGTTTGTCCATATATCTTGCTGGCCTCGCTGTGGGTTGGTTAACTAAGGGTTGAAATAACAAGAAAGTATCGAATAGTATTCGTGCAAAAACAGCTCGACTAAGCGAACTTTCAACCACATTTCCTCTGTTGCGTTATTAAGTCGATTTATTATTTACCCTTTTTATCGGTTGTTTTTTATTATTATGCTTCTGCTCTGTTCATATTATTTCACATTGGAGAAAATCCTCCATGACGGAGACTTCGTTATTCATTAATGCTTCGGCCTCGCGTAAATCATATTTAAAAAATTCCTATCCGACCGTAATCGCTTCAAGGTATTGTTTCTCACCTATTGTTCCCTTTGATTGTTGTTAATTTAACTCCGACCCCCCGACTAAAGGATGGAAATCGTTAACGGTTCGTTCGGAGCGAGGCGACTTTTTCCTCAGCGTTTGAAAAATAATGAAATTGCCTGCACTTAGGACTCGCTCGGGTCGAAAGACCCGCCAGAATGCACGGGGACATTTAAATGTCCTTTGGCCAGAATACAAAGGGCATTTAAATGTCCTCGTCCAGCTGAGAATGGATCACCGAGCAAGTGGAAGAGACTTGGAAACGGAAATTGGCAAACTTTTATTCGAGTAGTGGATAAGAAACGAAATTATAGTTGGAATTTATTCGAGTGGAAGGTTCAATTTTTTAAATACGATTTATGTACTTTTACGTCTTTATTATTCTACGATTGATGAAATTATATACACTAATTATTAGGCGAAGTATAATTGTTTCACGATGTTGGCAGTGAAACTATGTATTAAGTAAAATTGAACTATTTTATATTTTTAGTTTTTGTTTAAAATATATTCATCTATCTATCAAATAACATTAGACAATGCCAGAATGCTTATTAATCGAAAAATTTATTTAACCATATCGCAATTGCGATGTTTATCTTTTATCTACCCACAGCCTGTATCGCAGTAACAATACAAACCTGTTTCCTGTCACCGGTTATTGGACATTTTTTATCGAGATAAGAATTTTGCCAATCCCCGCTCGCCACCATTAGAGATAACATCGATAGTTTGATCAAGCTCGCGCGAATTCGCTATTTTATTTGGTGGATCGGTTCACGCGAAGAACCAATCTCTATTTCAGCGAATCGAACACATCCCGGGCAAAATCGAGTTCCATTACGAATTTGCGTCACAGCCACCGATATATCGCCCCTTCGATCTTAATTGCCTTTTCAATCCCGGAATGTTCATTCGACTATCGAAATTTCAATTAAAATCATCGCCCGTTCCGATTACCCGGAACCGTTCCTCCACCTATTGAAATCCCCTATTTGAACGGCCCTGGAGCACCCGTGAAACGATGCCGATCCAACCGGTTGAATCTGCTTAAATTTTCTTCCTTTCATACGTTAACGTCCAACATTTCATCCACCGACTGAATTAAAGTTCCCTTTAAAAAAAAAAAAGATACATCGGAGAGCCACGATTCTTAAATGCAAATTCTGCTCTATCCTTGAAATGAAAAATTCTTATATATAAAATGCTTATGTATTACACCCTCAGGCACTGTAGGTGTGTTTTCTAATAAAGTACAGTTATAGTACGGATTTAGCGAACCCGAGGTAGCCGAGCTTTTCGTAGGCCCATTGGGTCTTACCCCTAGTAAAGACACCAGAATAGAAAAGTATGTAAACATGTTCCGAGAAAGATCTGGTGTCTCGTAATTTTTCAATATTTTTCAACGTACATTTTATCAATCGCACTTCAAAATGTGAACTACCCTATGTCCTTAATTTGAAGCTTGTACATTGGATAGTGTTTCCGTTAAAAATGTCCGAAACCGGACTCGCATTCGACAAAGTAGTTAGTCGGGGCAGTTACACGCCATAATACCTTGTTTGAAAAGATCTCAGTTGTAACGGGGGAACTCAATTCCAGGGTGGAACAAGCCAGTCGTTGTTAACGTCGTTAACGAATCATCAGTTTGCACGAGCAGGCCTGGCGATTATTAAATGGGTCGCACGCGTAAAACGCACGTTTGGTTCGCGTGCGCGCGAATTGCTCGTGGGAAGGCAAATTGCGGGGAGGCTCCCTGCTCGATTACCCCTTTAAACCTTTCATTTTCAACGCGTGCAACGCGAGTCCTGCTTTTCGCATGATTTCTTTTTCATTTTTACATTTTCTCTTTTACGGGACCCCCGACCTTTACGGTCCCGCCATTCACGAATTCTCGTTACATTCTCATCCTTTGGGAACTAGATTCGTAATTTTATTTCAACCAGGCCGTTAATCAGAAACGCTAATATTCGTACAGCCGCGATCTAGGTTTCGCGCTACCGTGCTCACATGCTTGGAATTACACGATGCGTCGAAACCAGTCCGCCGTTTCACACTCGATTAATCTCTGACGCGGAAAGCGGCGTACAGGTTTTCGCGCAGAAATGTTGCTCGATCGGTGCCACTTCCGATCGAATCGATCTGCGCTCCCCGTCTTTCTCGCCACGGGACCGGATGTAAACAACTCTGACGTAACGACATTCCAGTAATATCGCGAAGTTTCGCGATCGCGACACAGTTCGGTGCTATTAACCTTTAGATAACAGCCACCGATACGTCAATTTCGCGCTCGTATTTGATAAAGTTCTTCCGGGACGACTGTGATAGCCATTTGTGATATTTCGTGGAAAGATTTTCGGGGAATCTTATCTGTAGAATTGTCCAACCAAAAATATTGACACGATGAATCATCGACGATACCATGATATTTCTGTGGAGCAGAGAAATTGAAGATACGATTTTTCGTTAGTGGGGAGCATCCATTTCTCTCTCCTTTTACTTTTTTACTTTAATCGTTTGTAGAATTGTAGATATCGTAAGGTCTTCG